CCAAGTAGCTGGGACTATAGGTGCCCACCACAACGCCTGGCTATTTTTTCGGTTGTAGTTGTCATTGTTGTTTGGTGGGTCTGGGCTGGATTCAATCCCACCAGCTCTGGTATATGTTGCTAGCGCTCTAGCTGCTTGAGCTACAGGTGCTGAGCCAACAAATAATTTTTTAGAGTCTCATATGTCCTAGGGACTCTGCTATAGACTTGAGATACAGGGATGTCTTTAGGATACAGCAGTGGCCACAGAAATACAAACACATACATAATTACTTCCTAGGGTAAAAAATAAGGTATGGGCAGGTATAGTGGTGGTTAGCGTGTTGAAGAAACATGGTCAGCTTTACCTTTGGGTCATGAAGGAGTACTGGATAAGGTGGTCAGTGATGTTTAAAACTTAAAGGAAAGGCAAGTGTTTGCCAAGCACAAGCTGGGGAAAGGGCATTGTAGACACATGTGCAAAGGCATAGAGTCATAGAAAAACATGCTGTGTGCTTAGGTAACCAAAAGGGGGTTAATTATTGCTATGACATTGTGGGGTTGTGGTTGGATAAGTGTCTTTTTTGTATCATGAGTTGTTTTTAGTTCTTTCTGTTCTCTTGTAGTTTGCATAGTAAAGAAAACAACAATACGAGAATAGAATCCATGATGAGTTCTGTACAAAAAGATAACTTTTACCAACATAATGTAGAAAAACTAGAAAATGTTTCTCAACTAAGTCTTGATAAATCACCTATTGAAAAAAGTACACAGTATTTGAACCAGCATCAGACTGCAGCTGTGTCTAAGTGGCAAACTGAAGGGAAACATACAGAGCAGCTTTTGGAAAGTGAACCTCCAGCAGTAACTCTGGTACCAGAGCAGTTCAGCAATGCTAACATTGATCAGTCACTCCAAAATGCTGATGACAGTGACACAGATAGTGAAGACAACAGAGATAACCAACAGTTTCTGACACCTGTAAAGCTTGCAAATGCAAAGCAGACTACAGAAGATGACGAGGCCAGAGAAGCCCGAAGCCACCGAAAATGCAGTGAGTCTTGCCATTCTATGGAAGACTGTGCAAACTGTCAGCAGGAAGAGATAGATGTGGTCCCAGAGAGTCCATTGTCGGATGTGGGCTCTGAGGATGTTGGTACTGGACTGAAAAGTGACAGCAAATTGAGTAGACAAGAAAGTAGTCTAGGAAATTCTCCTCCATTTGAGAAGGAAAGTGAACCTGAGTCACCAATGGATGTAGATAATTCCAAAAATAGTTGTCAAGACTCAGAAGCAGATGAGGAGACAAGTCCAGTTTTTGATGAACAAGAAGATGGTAGTTCTCCCCAAACAACGAATAAACCTTCGAAGTTCCAAGCAAGAGAAGCGGAAACTGAATTTAGGAAACGTTACTCTACTAAAGGAGGTGAAATTAGATTACATTTCCAATTTGAAGGAGAAGAAGCTCGTACTGCAATGACTGATTTAAATGCTAAACTACCTGGAAGTACTTCCAGCCTAAATGTAGAATGCAGAAATTCCAAGCAGCATGGAAAAAAGGATTCTAAAATCACAGATCATTTCATGAGAATGACTAAAGCAGAGGACAGAAGGTAATTTTTTTCATCAGTTGTACCTCTTCAATATTGTAATATGGTTTACAATTATATAGAAGAGTTTATGATTTATAGCAAAGCAAAGAAATGGTTGTGTTTCTCGTTAACTATGCTGAATATAAACCTAAACTCCAAAATGTGAATTTTAAAGAGGCCAGAAACAGAAAACAAAAACTAAAGTTAATAGGGGCAATCACATTTTTAGTTTTATGAAGTAACTTCTAGAACTTAAGGGAATTATAACATGAAAATATTAGGTTGATAGTAGCTACTGTTTATTTGCTAGACATTTTTCTAGGCCATTATATATTATACTTTTTCTGATCTGCAGACTGACAGGTGACATTGTACTCTGTTTATAAATGAGAAAACTGAGACTAGGGTTAGAGAATTTGCTGAAATCATTTACCTTCTAGGTGTTAATATTTGGATTTAAGTCCATGCATATCTTTCTGCTGTTATCCCATATGGAATCTTAAGGCCCACTCAGTAATTTCTGTGATCTTAGTTTTCTAGCATGTGATAGTGAATTTACTTCATTGAATGTTACTGTTAAGAGACCTGAGAAATAGCAGGTACTGTGAACCATTACTCATTTCTGTCTTTAGAATGGGATTTACATGTGTTTGGAAATTTCTTTTATAGACTATTTGAAAATAAGCTCTGGGGTTTTAATATAAGCTTTATATATTTTTCTTTTGATTATAAAAATAAAACAAATTAAAATAAAAGAGCAAGCATGGTACACTAAACAATAATGTTCTGGGTAAGTTTTGTAGTTGTATATTCAAGGAAATCAAACAGTAAAGAACTTGTGACTGAATACATTTGTCTTGACCTTAGAAAAGAACAATGTGAAATCAAACATCAAAGAACAGAAAGGAAGATCCCTAAATACACTCCGCCTCACCTTTCTCCAGATAAGAAGTGGCTTGGAACGCCTATTGAGGAGATGAGAAGAATGCCTTGGTGTGGGATTCGGCTGCCTCTCTTGAGGCCATCTGCCAATCACACAGTAACTATTCGGGTTGGTATCACCTCTTATCTATGAAAAGAGAAGACTAGATGTCCTCGTTTATTGTGATATGATTAATATGAACATATTAATAGAAAGTTCTGTTTTGTGCATGTATAAAATACTGAGAAGTCTACAGAATGAAGAAATGTAATGACAGCATACTCAAAGAATACTGAACATACAGCAAGGCAAATCATTATCAACTGATGATAAAATTGAATTTTTCAGCATTTTTAAGAAAGCTCGGCTCAGCACCTGTAGCTCAGCAGCTATGGCGCCAGCCACATATCCCGAAGCTGGTGGGTTGAAACCCAAGTCTAGGCCTACCAAACAACAATGACAACTACAGCCAAAAAATAGCCAAGTGTTGTGGTAGGCACCTATAGTCCCAGCTACTTGGGAGGCTGATGCAAGAGAATCACTTAAGCCCAAGAGTTGGAGGTTGCTGTGAGCTATGATGTGGCACTCTACTGAAGGCGACATAATGAGACTCTGTCTCAAAAAAAAGAAAAAGAAAACTCATTGGATTCTTTGTTTTTTTAATTCAGCTGACAATATTTGTACAGTATTCACTGCATGTTAGGTATTGGGTTAGACCCTAAAGTTCAAATTTATGTATGGTTCAGTGCCCTTAAATCATTCTCCAGTATTAACCTCTTCTCTGAGCTTTAGATTCTAGAAGACACATACATCACAGGTATCTCAAACTCAACATGTCTAAGACCAACCTAATTTTCTTTTATTGTAGTAAAACGTATGTAACACAAAATTTATTCTTTTAATTTTTAAGTGTATAATTCAGTGACATTAAATGCATTCACCATGTTGTGCAACTATCACTATTACTTCCACAACTTTTTCGTCTTCCCAAACAGAAACCCTGTCTCTAGTAATAATTTGTTCCCTACTTCCCCTAGTTCCTGGACCTCTTTTATATGTTCTGAGGGTTCTTGCTTTTATTTATTTATTTATTTTTTGTTTGTTTGGCGGGCCTGGGCTGTGTTTGAACCCACCAGCCCCAGTGCATGTGACTAGCACCCTAACCACTGAGCTCCGGGCGCCCAGTGAGTATTTGCTTTTAAAAAACAACTTAATGAGGAATATAAAATTCACCCATTTTAAGAACTCAATTGATGATGATTTATTGAGCAACAACTACTATAATTCAGTTTTAGAAGATTTCTGTCACTCATTGGATGGTATTAAATATTCATTTATTTATTAGTTATATAGATTTCAACAGGTACTACTTTAAAAAATGAAATGATCCCTTTTATTATATACCTTAGTCTAGCTATAATTAAATATTTTGAAATTCAGAGTCCTTTACCATGTTTATAGGTGGGAGTGATATTGAGCAGGGCTGGGCACCCAAATCTCAGTGGTTAGGGTGCCAGCCACGTGCTCTAGGGCTGGTGGGTTTGAACCCAGCCTGGGCCTGCTACACAAAAAAAACAGCCAGCTGTTGTGGGGGGTGCCTGTCGTCCCAGCTACTAAGGAGGCTGAGGCAAGAGAATTGCTTGAGCCCAAAAGTTTGAGGTTGCATGAGCTATGATGCCACAGCACTCTATTGAGGGTGATAAAGTGAGATTCTGTCTCAATTACATATACATATATATATATAAAATACACAATATATGTATACGCTATATATTATATATATTTCTTTATATGTTTTGTAAAATTGCCTCATTGTCACTAATTGATGTTAGAGAAAGTGAGAATTATTGTAAAAATTATATTTATAAAAATAGCTTTTATTTGACAGATATAATGATTTTATGTCATATTTCTTAGGGGAAGAAAGATTTCTGCTATTTTAAAAAGTTTGAAAATCACAGGGATAGGGTAATAATTGTAAGAATAAAAAAGAAAACAGATAGTTGCATTTTTCGGATGTAAAGTTCATAGTACATGGTGCATTATTTGACGTAAAATTCTAGTACATAGTGAATTCTTAAATATGGATGATAAGCAAAAAGGAGTTGTTGGTAATACATGTAAAATTAAGTTACTTTATGACTGAGAAGATATTAATGGTTAGAAGTTGGAGAAAAGATTGATTGAGAGAATTAAATGGTATTTTAATTTTTATTCCTCCCTCTCTCTCTCACCCTTTATAAAGAAAACCCAAAGCATAAACAGTCCTTAGTTATAATTCTAAGACGCTAGGTATTAATAGCTGCAGAATTTGAAGTAGTAAAATGAGGCTAACATTGAGCTTCAGTAATGTTAGGCAGCCTGAAATTAAGTGGACAAGACACTCAGTGCTTATCAATAAATGTGCAAGCGTGTGCACACGCACACACAGCACATTCTCATAAAGATGTTCTCTTTTGTGTGAAGCTTATCAGATACCTGTTCTGTTTCCTCAGATGACATGGACCATATTTTATAAAATCACCTTTAGAACATTCTTAGGAGGGAGAAAATGCTTTAGCAAAATTGATGATTCAGTCACATTGGACGTCAGACTTTTCTTTTTTCCTTGGAATATTCTTATCCTTTGGCTTCTGTGTCTTTATATATTGCTGGTTTTCTTCCTACCTCCTTTGCCAGTTCTCATGTTACTTTTAAACTTCTATATGTGACCAGGAAGTGTTGGTGGAATTCCTCAAAGCTTTTTCAAAAAGAAAAAAAAAAGGGAGAGACATTATATACATAGGCATATAGGTACAAAAGTGAATTTGCTGTTTAAGAAATTTTAAGTTTGCTGGCTTGTCTAGATATATATTGTTTGGGTAAGAAAGTACATAAAAACAGTGATATTTGTCTCATAGTATAGGCATTGTAGGAGTAAAAGCCTGAGAACACTTTAAACACCGTTTTTCCTTTTCTTTCTTTTCTTTGAGACAGAGTCTCACTAGGTCACCCTCAGTAGAGTGTTATGGTATCACAGCTCACAACAACCTCCAACTCTTGGGCTTAAGCAATTCTCTTGCCTCAGCCTCCCAAATAGTTGGGACTATAGATACCTGCCACAATGCCCCGGCTATTTTTTGGTTGTAGTTGTTATTGTTGTTTGGCAGGCCCAGGCTAGGTTTGAACCCACCAGCCCCGGTGTACGTAGCTGGTGCCCTAGCTGCTGAGCTATAGGCGCTGAGCCTAGAACAGTGTTTTTCAACCTTTTTTTATCTCATAGCACACTCGAACCTATAGTTAAACTTCTGCGACACACTTAAATTATGTTGATGCAAAAAATTAAAAAGAGAATGTACTTACTGTGCTTTGAACTTCTTTCAAAGATAATTTAATTAATGGTCTTTAAAATTTATCAGGGCATACCTAAGATTCTCTCATGTCACACGAGTGTGCTACTGCACACCAGTTGAAAATCACTACTTTAGAATGATAATGTTATTTCAAAGTGAGGATAAAGGTTTTATTGGGGCTGAATGTATCTGGGAGCAGTTGTATTTAGGGCAAAGGATAAGAGACTTGGCAGAAATTCAGGCAAGAAATGTTGAGACCCTGCCCTGTGTCCTAGATGGGCTGGAGATGGAAAACATAGGATATAGTGACTAGTAAATTGGTAATTGGAAGTTAGGGTAAGAATAGCTGAAGACAACTGTTGAAATTTCTTGGAACTGTTTTCTATTTTATAGCATCTTCTTTGGTTACTTTCTTTGGGTTAGTTTTTAGAAGATACACTTGGGTTTTTATGCACTTAAGAGTTTTCATGTTTATCCTCTATTTCAGGTAGATCTTTTGCGAGCAGGAGAAGTTCCGAAACCTTTCCCAACACATTATAAAGATTTGTGGGATAACAAGCATGTTAAAATGCCTTGTTCAGAACAAAATTTGTACCCTGTGGAAGATGAGGTAAGAATAAAACTGAGGTTCAGGGTGGTGCCTGTGGCTCAGTTGGTAGGGCGCCGGCCCCATATACCAAGGGTGGTGGGTTAGAACCCCGCCCCAGCCAAACTGCAACAAAAAAAATAGCCGGGCATTGTGGTGGGTGCCAGTAGTCCCAGCTATTTGGGAGGCTGAAGCAAGAGAATTGCCTAAGCCCAGGAGTTGGAGGTTGATATGAGCTGTGACGCCACGTCACTCTACCGAGGGCGATAAGGAAGTCTCTGTCTCTAAAAAAAAAAAAAAAAAAAAAACACCCCCAAGATTCTTTTAGTCTCTGACTGATGGTTGAGTACTTGTTTTTTTCTAATTCTATGATGCAAAATAACTTAGAATAGTTTCCTACTATATTTTTCTTTTTCCTTAAAGAATGGTGAACGAACTGCAGGGAGCCGGTGGGAGCTCATTCAAACATCACTTCTCAACAAATTCACTCGACCTCAAAACCTGAAGGTATGTTCTTTTTGCTATTCTTATCTCTTAACTTGTAGCTCTTAGAGATGGTCTCTGTCTCCTCCCTCAAAGATATTTTCTAATCTTAAAAGACTTAGGTAACAGCATTCTTCACTTGAAGAGTGCTTGCTTTTTGGCATTGAGGGATGCTCCTTAAAGAAGTTTTTGGCTTCCATTCTTCTAGGAAGTGGTTAAAAGAATTGAGAAGTTGTATTTACATTTGACTTGCCTGGAGCCACACACAATAATTTGGAGAACCCAGAATTAAGACCTCAGTTTCTCAACTCCCATCAAATTTCCTTCAGTCCAAGCTTCTCTTATATTTTGTTGTTTTAAAATTATCATGTTTCTGAAATGTCTTTAATAGTAAATCAGGAAAGAATTACGATTTCAGTAATATTTGCCCAAAGGGAAGCTGAGTTTGCTAATGATTAAAGTATACATTAAGCATTTTGTTTTTTATTGCTCTGAGCATAGCTTCTAACAGTTTATTAATTAATTTATTAATCTTATGTTTTGGTAATAATCTATTTTTTCATTTTTTTATATTTTATGTAAGACTATAAGGGTAACCATTAGATTGTTTTTCTTTTTTTGGGGGGGGGGGCAGAGTCTTAGTATGTTGCCCTCACTAGAGTACAGTGGTGTCACAGCTCACAGCAACCTCAAACTCTTGGACTTAAG